ACGTCTTGATATCAGTACTACCAAGCATACTAACTAGATCTCATTTGCCACCCATCCCTCTTTTGTCCTATTTGTATGACCTTATGCTGATGGAGTTCTCCCCAGGGAAAAGGGAATCAGTTCTCTTCATGGAAAGACAGACTTCTTCCTATAGCAAGTAACAGGAGAGGCCTGATTTTTACTGATTTTTAATTTATTATGGAAGTTGACAGCCTCAAAAGTTAAAAAGTGAAAACTGAGTAATTTGTTGTCCAGGGAAGTAAAACATTTCTTGTTCTGCTTTTAATACTCAAAATTTAAAGGACTTCAGGTAATAGGGACACTGGACAATGAGAGTCTCGCAGACCTGGTCATCGACGAAGAATGGGCTCCATGACCCCAGCATCAAAGCTGTTATCTTACTGTAATAAATTAGCCCTGGAGCTTTCTGTCCAATGTTACAGTAGGTAGGATCTTGTCTCTGGTTAATACGATTAGGCAGCTTTCTCAATGATCTCTCACTCCTATCATGCCAAGAGTAACTTATTTTATATCTTCACATCTTTTCTCCTACTCTTATTTATTCTTCCCAGATTTGTCCTGAGCTACTTTATCTCTTCTCCATTAGGGCTCCTACCACTTCCCACTCCCTAAGACCCACCACCTAGAAAAGGGTGCACTTAGTCCAGTAAGTTCAATGGGCCCTCAATGGGTTCCTTTCTGTTTGTGGTCCTGACTTTCAAGAGCAAACTTCAAGCACAGATGTGGAGTTTGCACCTGGTCAATAATACCCAGCCAGATCATGGGATGCTTTAGTTAAACCATGTCCATGGGCCAGAAGACCAAAAGGAGACTGTTCAAAAAAAGTAAGTGGGCAAACAAACAAATGAGCCTGATCCTATTAAAACATTTTTGGAAGGAAGAGGAAATAAAGATAAATAAAAATACCTAGGTTTTATCTATCCCCACACCCACCCTTTATCTCTGCAGAATTCTCCTGAAGTCTTCAGCATCCACATCTACAAAACAATCAGCCAGACTATAAACATAGGGGATAGAAAGGAATAGAAAGTATTCCTTTTCTTCCTGTGTTTTCACTAAGAGGAAGGGTAAGGAGGGAACTGGGTTTTACACTCCCTGAGGACCTTCTCTGCCACCTGACTCCCAGCCCCCAAGTCAGGGCCTTCTCCCTTACAGAGAGAGACTCCATGTGCATGCAAAGATCTACATTTTTCACTGGGGCTCTCAACATGAGCCCATTCTCTATGCCTCTGACTTCTCAATTCTTAACAGCATTATACTTATCTAGAGTCCAGGTTGCCACCAGAATTCTAAGTTTACCTTCTCTCCAGACCCACAGGTAAACAGTATGGCTACTGACAGAGGTTCACAAGATAAGTAAGAGGTAAAGCAGACATCTCCCAAGTTGCTGAGTGAATGTTATCATGAAGTCATTCTGTGGGTCCCCTTGTGCCAGGAGGTTGTCAGCTCTTCTAATTCATAGAACAAGTCATCAATATTTCCACAAATAGTCTGTTTCCAGTATACCAAGTCGCCTAAGGCATTTTAGAAATTCAATTCTTTCCTCCACAGGTTAGTGTTAGGGCAGTGAAAAGCAGATAGCCATAGTTAATTTAGTTTTTTAGATAATATATGCATTATCTTCCCCCTCCTGAACCTTTTTTTAGGGAGGCAAAAAGATCATGGAAATGTGAACTTATCCTTTGCAATAGTTAGTCACTTATCTCCAAGGAAATTACAGGGCAAGGGAGAAAATGAGCTAATGAGTCTTACCTATAAGCATTCCATCAGGCTCCACCTACAGGCATTTGTTATTAACCCATCAATGGCATAATTCCAAAAGATTGAGAATAAAGAAGCAGAAATCACTAAGCATTTCTGGGAAACTTATGAACAAATAAAATAATGCATCTGTTGTTATTGTTTTTTGTTTTTGTTTGTTTGCAGTGTCCGGACTCCTAAACTGTCCGACTTTGAGGATGTTGTGAATAGAGATACAGAAAATGGATGCCCTTCTCTTAACGTCTGCAAAAGGTGAATATCTCCCAGCTAATAGTAATAATACCAATATCAACCACAATGGGAAAGAACTGTTTTATTTCTGGTTTTAACTGAAGACAAATCAGTATATCCTCAGCCCAATGATACATTTATATGGCAAAGGTATGGGATATAGCTATGAAGAGACTAGACTCCTGCCCTTGTGGTGCCTAGCTTCTAGTTCTGAGGGTCATTTTTCCCCTTTCCATGTGACCACCTCTTGCCATTCAGGAGAAGGGATCTTCCTTTTCAAAGTCTCCTTAAGGTTGCTGGAGGCAGCTCCTCAACCTGCCTATTTCCAGCTCCAAAGACTTGAGTTACTCAGGAAACAATGAGGTTGAAAATTCTCCTACCTCCACCCTACTTCCTTGCCCCAGCACTCCTTTTCAGACTCCCTGGCAGACAAAAGACAACTCCACAGGAGAGTGCCCAGTGGGGTGGGTCCTAGCCCTACCTGAAATGAAGGTCAAAAGAAGGGCAGATGCAGTTGATGGAGGCTACCATAGGGGGAAAGCAGGGCTGCAGGTGGGGTGGGGTCCTTTCCTTGGCAGCCAACGATATTCTTTGGCCAGGAATCTCCCACTGCCCTTTCTGATCCTTTCTCCCTTCCCAGAGTTATCTCTCCCCATAAAATAAGAATGAGCCCTCTTGTCCTGGTGAACCTCAAAAATTCAAAGGAGGCTAACAGTCATTAAGAATCTCTTTTATCCCTGGCCAAATCAATGCCTCTTTACCAGGCTAACTTCTTGTCCCAACCCAGTCCCCTCCCCAGATCCAGGGAACTATCAATTCTCAGGGCTAGAGCTAGGTAGACCCTCCCCACCCCACCCCACCCCACCCCACACAGAGACACTCATTCACTATTCCATTCTTAATCGACCCCCCCCCCACCTCAATAAACATGCATCCAATCTCCAAACCCCATCATTCTCCCAAGCACAAACTAACAGAGCCCTCCAAGGGTCTGTCATTTTGCCCACCCCATTCTCAATGCCTTTAAAACTCTTTGAATAAAGACAGGGGACTGTGTACGTCTTCTACACAAATGGTGGAAAGCAATAAAATAAACATCAAAGATGAGCTCCCACGTACTCGAGGCCCCGTCACTATTTCCAACAAAGGCAGGAAAAAGGAGGAAACTTCAGCATGGTAGGCAGCGGATTGGAAGTGTACTGTTCCTGAAGACCAGGGCCCCCTTTCCCGGGAGTGCTGACACCCCACAGGCTTCAGGCCCCAAGGGCCCTGCCGCGGGTCAAGGGCCGCCTCCTTTTCAGGACTGTTCAACACAGGTGTCACGGAAGCCACAGTAAAAGTCCTAAAGGAGGACTGGAGAGAAATGGCGGTAAATTTGTGGTGCTCTTGGCCCAGGCCCTCGGGAACACGCCCTCCTAGTTGTTCCTGTTGATTGTCGGAGTCCAGAATAATGGGGCTGAGCTCAGCTGGCGTCTCCGGGGCGCAAGTGTAGGTAAGAGCCCCGCACAGAGCACCAAACACAGCCACCCCAGGGGGGTGAATGGGGACGCCACTGCCCTTCCCCAAGAGCCATTAGCCAGGTAAAGTAAGACAAAAGAAAAGTGAAAGTCAGAGGCCATTTAGCAAGCAAGAGTCATCAAAAACGGAGCATACAATTTCCACCCTGTGTTTTACTCATAAAAAGAAGGTGAGAAGACAAAAGGTAGTCTTTGGAAGGAAATCACAGGAAGGGGCACAGCACTTGGCTCCGGAAAGAAGTCCCTGCAAAGTATGTCTTGGGCGGCTTCTGCCATTCAGAACCTCTGCAGGGATGGAAGAACTATGCTTTCCTAAGAAGCACGATTTTCATTACAAACAAACTCAAGCCGCATGCAGTTTAGGAAGGCCACTGGCCTGAGTAACTTCCCTGCTCCCCGCTGGACCCAACCCTCTCAGGTGCCTCCCTAGGAATATCCAGGGGTAGTCTCCCCCGCCAGGCACACTCGCCCAATCGCCTCCAGGAACTCCAGGTCGCAGGAACCCCAGGTCGCAGGAACCCCTCCCTCACCGCTGGAGGCCGGGTGCCCACACCTGAGCGCTGAAGCGGGAGGGAGAGCGGAGCCGCCCCACAAGCGCGCGCACAGGCACACTCACAGACACACGCACCCCCAGCCGCGCGCACGCTCCTCATTGGCGGGAGGAGGAAGGCGGGGCCGGCCAGACCCAAAACAAACAACCTGCGCCCAGCTACTCTGCGGCCGCGCCGCCGCGTGGCCTCCGCCTGGTGCGCGCCCGCGGGGTAGCCGCGGCCACCTTGGCCACCTCGTTCCCCCACCCCCTAGCTGTCTGCGCCCAGGCCCCGCCCCCAGAGAGCTGCCGCAGGGTTAAATTGGGCTGAGCCGAAGGTGGAGGCGAGACTCAGCTGCGGCCGGCCAGCGCGGACATGCTGCCCCAGAGGCCGGGGGCGGGAAGGCGGCTGCGGGTGCAGCGGCCTCGAAGTCTCGGCTCCACGGGTGCTAGCGCCTAAAGGCTCCGGATCCTCCTCCAAGGGTGACGTGCACATCATCCGACAATATCTCCGTACCCCGAGAACGCCTGCCTGCTTGGGACCTGGGTCTCCAGTGAAGAACCTCTCCTGAACTCTTTAACGGATAGCAGATGCTCGGGCTTCTTTCCAACAAGAAATTCTTCTAAGCCCCGCGCTCTCGGCACTAGAGAGGGTGAAACTGCAGCCCCCAAACGCGTTCACCCCTAAGTCTGTAATCCCCGAACTAAAGACAGCGCTCACCCAACTCCTCCTGCACCCCTTTTGGTCCACCGAACTCACAGCCCCTCAAAAAATAAATCCAAAGGAAGAGGACTCTTACACGGAAAAGTGTGTCTCTCCGAAGGACGAAGGAGGGTTCCTGGGAAAGAAAGGCCAGGACACGGAGCTCCGCGATTGCCTCTCCTGCCCCTTCCTAAGACTGCGCTAAAGAAAAGGGTACGGCACGGGGCGGGGACTGGGCATGAAGTTAGAGGTGTTCGCCCCCCGCGCGGCCCACGGGGACAAGCCCGGCAGTGACCTGGAAGGTGCGGGTGGCAGCGACGCGCCGTCCCCGCTGTCGGCAGCCGGCGACGACTCCCTGGGCTCGGACGGGGATTGCGCGGCCAACAGCCCTGCGGCGGGCGGTGGCGCCGGTGATCCGGCGATCGGCAGCGAGCACAGCTCCGACAGGGGCCCGGGTACCCAGGACGAGGGCCCGGCGGAGGCGACGACAGCGGCGGCGGCTGCAGGCAGAGCGGAGGCCGGCTCGACAGGTCGGTGCGCTGGGAGCGTGGCGGGCGGCGAAGGCGCACGCAGCAAGCCGTACACGCGGCGGCCCAAGCCCCCGTACTCCTACATCGCACTGATCGCCATGGCCATCCGCGACTCGGCGGGCGGACGCCTGACGCTGGCCGAGATCAACGAGTACCTCATGGGCAAGTTCCCCTTTTTCCGCGGCAGCTACACCGGCTGGCGCAACTCGGTGCGCCACAACCTCTCGCTCAACGACTGTTTCGTCAAGGTGCTGCGCGACCCCTCGCGGCCCTGGGGCAAGGACAACTACTGGATGCTCAACCCCAATAGCGAGTACACCTTCGCCGACGGGGTCTTCCGCCGCCGCCGCAAACGCCTCAGCCACCGGGCTACAGTCCCCGCACCGGGACTGCGACCCGAGGAAGCCACTGCCCGCCCCAACGTCGCGCCCCCTCCACCCGCGCCCCCTACCCCTGCCTCTCCTCGAGCGCGCTCGCCTGCACGCCAGGAAGGGCGCGCCAGCCCCACGGGCAAGTTCTCCAGCTCCTTCGCCATCGACAGCATCCTCAGCAAGCCCTTCCGCAGCCGCCGGGACAAGGACGCGGGCCCCGGGGTACAGGGGGTACAGCTGCCGTGGGGCACCTCGCCCTGCGCACCGCTGCCCACGTATCCCGCACTGCTCCCCGCGGCTCCTGGTGGGGCCCTGTTGCCAATCTGTGCGTACGGCGCAGGCGAGCCGGCGCTGCTGGGCGCGTGCGGGTCTGAACCGCAGCCCTCAGCGCCACCGCCAGCCCCGCACCTCCTGCTAGCGCCCCTTTCTACCGCCACCCCAGCTAAGCCATTCCGAGGCCCAGCGGCTGGCGGCGGCGCGCACCTGTACTGCCCCCTGCGGCTGCCCGCGGCTCTGCAGGCGGCCTCGGCCTGCGGCCCTGGCCCGCACCTGCCCTACCCAGTACAGACACTTCTGGCCTAAGCCATGCTGCTGAGCCCCGAAACTGTAGGTGCCATAGGGGACAAGAAGAATGCAGGCTCGCGGGCTGTGCACTTTCTATCCAGTGAAAAGGAGACTTAAAAAAAAATCAAACGTGCCTTAAAGCTAAAACATTTTGACAGAAGTGTTGTAACTTAGTCCAGAGTAGTTTCCCTTGTTTTTGATAACTTTACAGAGGACCAAAGCAGTTTTTATTATTTTAAGTTCTTGGCCGGGCCTGTCCTCTCTCCCTTATAAAGACTTCTCTCTCCTTACTACCCAGGCTGTTCCCTACTCCTCCTATGTTTGTTGCACCTTCCATTGATTCATTCCCCTCCCCCCAAAGCACATCAGGGAACCATTCTATAGGATAAATGATAATGACTACTGTTTGGGGTTTATTGGACCCCACTCCTGTACGTATGTGGTATTCACATGTGCGAGTGTGAGAGAGGTGTCAGAAAACCTTCCGTCACTTCTCTGCTATTGACCAATGCTTCACTGTGCCAAAAGAGGAAAAAAAAAATGTTGGGTTTTGTAATTAAATTATTTATATATTTTTGAAACCTGAATCGAAAATGTTGCAGGCAACGGCTACAGCTTTATTAGTGGTTCTCTAACTGTGGTCTCTTTGGGCCAAGTAATTTCTTTAAAGGAAGAGTTAACATGTTTGTGGGGTGCCAGTCCACTTCCACATGAAAGCAAGTGTGATTTTTATTTTTAATATTATTTTATTTGTGTCTGTGTATATATTCGTGTATAAATTTTATGAAACCCAGGCATAGTGCTTATTTTTTAATAAAACCCACAATTGACTTATACACTTTGTGGTGATCAATTGGAGAAGCTTTTTGCCTTTACCCCACAAAAAATGGGTTCAGGTTTGAGTGTCAAGAAACATCACCCAGGGATCAAAATATTTTCCACCATACTTTAATAAAGGTGGAAGCAGGTTTCCTTACCACACACACACACACACATTTCCAGGATAGGCCTTCCACAAATGATATTTCTTATTACCTTCATAAGTACTCATCTGAGGGTTATCAGAGAAATGATAAGATGTGCATGCCTCTCTCCCCCAAGAATCCTATTTAGGAGGCTGATTGAGCTACAAGCATTTAGTCAAACCAATATTTTCAAGGAAATTGTATTTGGGTTCAAAAGGCTGTAAACTTTTTTTTTTATTATTAAGACTATCACACCAATGAGTCTTCAAGCAGCTTTAAGAGCAACATAACTGTCAGAGCTTTTGTCAAAACAACACTATCCACCTTTTCAGGAATACAGAGGTTCATTTGGGTGTGGAAAAATGGTGGGGTTTTTTTTGTTTGTTTGTTTGTTTGTTTTTTCACTCCCCTCATTTGTGAAGCTATCATTTGTAGAGGTGGACAGTTGTTTTCAAATTAAGTTCAAAGGCAATAGGAACCTTAACAATTTATAGATTGCAAAATTCTAAAGAGAAATGGAAATGGTTTAGAGACAGGAAACAGGTCTCACTGTCAGCCCTACTATTCTTATCCAATGCAGGAAGATGGTTTGGGATTTAGGCATAATAAGATGAGGAAACAAAAATGTAACCTATTTGAAGATGCCCCTCTTTAGCAGGAATGGGAGGAAAAAGCCCATGCCCAAGTCTAGCTAACAAGTAACAAGTCTTGACTGATTTTGGTTATACCTACTTAGTAGTCATAAAGAGTGATAATAACAGGGTTGAATTATGACAAAAGGGTAGATATTTGCACCCACAAGGCTGATAATTAAACAGGAAAAATAAAACACACCAGCAACTGGAGGAAGGGGCAACAGGTTCACTGGGTTGAAATTATCATGCTCAACCCTGAGCTTTGCTCTTGAAAACCATCTGAGACTGAAGCACAGCAGGAAGTGAGTAACCTCAGGTGCTGCCCACCTGATCCCAGCAGGCCATTTCTCTCCAACGGTGTGCCATCTCTCCACAGGCAAAGTGCTGCCTGCTTTTAAGTCCTTGTGTAAAACCACTATTTTCATTTCCACAGTGAAAATAGTCCCGCAATGGGAGATTTTATTAAAAACACTGCTGTCCTCTGTTTTCTCTTCAGACAGTACAAATCTTTCGCCTTTTACTAAAATAGTTGCTAATTTATTGATATTAAAGAACACAGAAACAGCAATGTCAAAGAGAAAAGGGGAAAGGCAATGTTTTAAAAAATCACAACCGTCTTCACCTCCGAAGGAAGGAAGGAAGGAAGGAAGGAAGGAAGGAAGGAAGGAAGGAAGGAAG